CAGCAAAATGGCAGCCATCTTGGAATTTTTTGTGATGACGTCATTATTCCGATTAATTTTTTTAACGAGAGTGAGGAGTAACTATTTAGCCAAGTTCTTGTTACATTTGATATACATAGCATATGTAAAAGTGACTAAAACCATACATTTATTTCCCCTACCCCCATCTTAATTAGCCCAAAATAGGATATTTTATGTCAAAATTTTAAAGTGCTATAAAAAATATTTCCAAGAATAATTTCTAAGAATGGGGATTTTTTTCTGAGACACTATATGATATACTGATTCAGAAAAACCAAAAATAAATTTTCCTTTACTTTTTTCTCGCTAATTCCCTACTGCACCCAGACTATTATGCAGTTTATTTCAATAATTTTAAAGTATATCTTCTTTATTCTCGAAAAGTGAGGGTGACCAACCTTTTCCCCTTAAAAATATGTTGGGGTGGGGGATGTGTTCCCTTTCCCCAGTGATCTGCACCCATGGGTCTGTGAAGAGTCCATTTCACCTCAGCCCAAACATTGTTGGGGCTGAGGCGCGAAAAGTGTGAGATTATCGAGCTCAGGGTGCCAGGAAATTACACTCTCTTACCAATAATTCATATCAACAATATAATATAACAATTATTTTTTCTAATAGAATTTACCGGGGTGCGACCGAACCCTGTGCACCCCCCCCCCCGCATCCGTTCCAGAAGTTTGAAACTATGATGTTTCAAAACTACTACAATATACTAGTAAAAGTTTTATTATCTTTATTGTTGATTGTTTCACTGTCGTGCTTATATCCAGGCTGGGCTGACATGTCGTTACCTCAGTGAGTTTTATGGTCTAGACAAATATAATTTTTTTTTTATACAGGCTCTAAAAGTGACATCATGTGTAAATTTGGGAAATCTATATTAATCTGACTACTTACTGGGTGAGTAATATCGTATAGCTGCTGACCAGAGAAGTCCCAAATGTAAGTAATGTCTTCGTTAGCAATCATCTCTGAAAATAAGTATAATTTATATTTTTTACGTTCCTTATGGTTTTCACGTCTCCAAAGCGCTTCACTGATTTACTATAATAATTACATTACATTGCGTGACACATACATCTCTAATAATTCTCTGAAATTCAAGATTAAATAATTTTGATAGGCTACTCACTCTGTATACACCTAATTGCGTATATAATAGTAGTTTTGTTATTCCAATAGAGGAGTTTAACATATACCCATTTATATATTTAAAAAAATATAATAAAGGCCGATTGCGATTTTTTTTTTCCGTACGAAACATTTGCGTGAAACTCCACTCGGGCTGTCTCGACTGACTCGACTCGAAAATCTCAATTCTGGAGGTCAAAAGGTCATCAACCAAAGATAAACGTCTACAAAACTTCTGAGATGCAGCATTGTCGCGTGTCTGATTTTGAAGAACACATTGACGTTGAGATAGTATAATACATACTCCAAGTTTCGAAATGCACGCCATCGTGTCAGGATTCAATATTTCGACATTAAATTATCCATATTTGCAAGCTTATGCACAAGTACCAAGTGTTTGACCAATCAAAAACATTTAGTAGATAACATAGTTATGAATAAATTAAAGATCAAAGCATCCTTATATATTACCCTTCTGATCAAAGTTACCTACAAAAACACAGAGAGCTCCTTTGAAGCTTTCAGCTTTGAAGCTTTCAGTCATGCTAATAACTGATGTGTCGTTTAAAATGACAAATGTAATATTTGATTTAGGTGCACGAATAATAAAATTTTTATTTGAACTTGAGTTACATAGGAACATTTTTGTTTTTTAGTTGGCCTAGTTTTTGGATAATTATAAGTACCAGGCCTTTTATTATTATTATTTTTATTATTATTATTATTAATCGTTATTATTATTATTATTGTTATTATTATTATTATTGTTATTATTATTATTATTATTATTATTATTATTATTATTATTATTTAATATCAATTACATTACAAGGTTTAGGCCAAGTTCATAAATGCCGGAATGATATATTTATTTTTATTATTTAATAATATTTTTCTTACGCACTGTCCCATTTTTAATTTTATGTTTCAAATTTGTTTAATTTTTTTTTTATTTCAGTCAATGTCATGTGAAGCGTGAGCGTTGTGTCAGGCCCTGGATCCTAGCTTAGCTAGGAGCATATCTAGGGAGGGGCCTATAGGTAGGAGCTAAACCTGTAATTAGGCCTAGGTTAGCCTCTTTCAAGCTCCAGCCTTAATTGATAGTACCTATAGAGCCTACTACTGGTGGTGGTACTAGCTGTTGTTGTTGTACGTATTACATTTGATAACAAACATACAAGAAGCTCACAGTTAGTTACAGACGTATAAATTTAGATTTAATAGGCCTATCGTAGCTAAACAAAGAACAATATACTCGAGCGTCACGACATTGTGAAGTGCCTGCTCTTAACGAACTCAAGTCGAGTCAATCCGAGACGGCCCGAGTGGAGTTTCATGCAAATGTTTCGTACGGAAAAAAATCGCAGGCCGATTATCGTTATATAGTAAAATAATTACAAATAATAATAAATTAAGAACAATAAATATTACCAATAGTAATGTATAACAGAATTATAAATGTTTTAAGTTTTATTCAACTAGAGAGGACTAGAATAATGCAGGTTTGAAACAAGGTATACCACTTTTGAAATATTAATCCAATAGTAACAACCTGTGTTATGTTCCTTTACAAATAATTTCAACACTTCAGCATCCTGTGTATATAAAGAAAAATCAAAATGATATGTTAATGAAATTATCAATGTTTTAATTCAAACTATCTAAAAAATAATTATGTTAATCGCCTCATCGTAACTTCACTTATCTCCTCTGAAACCGTTGGCAGGAATGTGCTCATATCTCATACACTCGGGTTTCTATCTGTAAGGACCGCATTCCGCTATTTGTTTTGGCTAACAACGAACAAAACAGCAAAAAAACCACCGAAAATCGCATAAATACAGTGTGACTACTGTGGCAAATTAAATTATGCCATTGGCTGGGACTGAAATTATGCTGCAATGCTACGCTTTAAATAGTGGATGTATATAACAAACAATTTTTAAATTAGATACATCTTCATATTCATTTGCCAACTAATGCCAGATCATGTATTAGACCATTTAATTTTTCGTATATGTTTATATCATAGGCCTACATTCTCTGATTTTTATCGTTTTATCTTTTATTTATTTTTACTTTGTATAGTTAAATATATATGTTATATTTCCCACCACACATAGGCCTATCTATTACAGCCATTCGATCATAGTCCTCTTTTAATCATTTAGGCCTATATCATTGATTCCGACCACGGAGGCATGTAATTTGCTTAACATGATACTTAAAGTTCTGCTATATTCTTCACATTTATTTATAATAATATAGCCAGATTGTCATCTTTTACTTCAGTTACTCCTACGCTAAGGAAGGCAGCAGGTGCTACCGAAAATTTTGTTTAATAAATGTATATGCTCCACTTGGCCTCGTTTTGGCTACGATAGTTTAATAATTTGTATTACCATTACTTCTGTCTCTTATACACATCTAGATGTGTATAAGAGACAGTATATATAGTTACCTCAGTTGAAGATACAGGTACATTTGCCGTAGTTGATGTAGGATGAGATAGTTTCCTTTTTTTCCTTACATTGCCTTTTACTTTCTTTTTGGATTCCTGTTTCATACGAAAATTCTCTATAAAAAAAAATCAAATTTTCAAACAGTTATTATATAAACCACTAAAGAGAAGAAAGTAAATGCCACAACAATTAAAAACATATTCGATGTCATACCGTGAATTGCTTTCGCAGTAGCAGTAGCAGTTGGAATGATGCCATTTAATCTTTCAATTCTCTCATTCAACCTATAAATATATATATACAGGCTAGGTATTACACATAATTAAAATATCGAAACTAAAATATTATAATTAGGTAGGTATATTTTCTCTAAACCATGACAATGACATTTGCATCCATAAGCACATGAAGTTGTTAAACAAATCATTCTGCATTAAACACTGTAAACTATTAAATACATTTAAAAAAAAACAATTGTATGAAAGCAAAGCAATGAAATTTAAATTACGAAATAAAACTTGAAAACTTATCGACAGTTGGACAAGTAGGCATACTTGAAACACCAACACTATGAAAAACATCGAACATAAAGAAACTTACTTTTTCATAACGTTTGATTCCAGCTTTATTGTTTTTACAATGCCTTTTAATTCACGAACTGCTATTACCTGCGAGTTGTATACTGGGATGATCTGACTCTTTTCTAACTCTTTGTTAAACGCCACCCGAGCTTCTTTACCTCTTGCTAATACTTCTCTTGGAACTGCGACGCCTAATTCAGAAAAAAAATCTCCAATATTGATTTTTAATCCAAATTTTATAATAATAATAATAATAATAATAATAATAATTATTATTATTATTATTATTATTATTATTATACTTATTATTATTATTATTTTTATTATTATTATTATTACTATTATTATTATCATTGTCATATAATTATTATTATTATTATTGTTATTATTTTTATTATTATTATTAATAATTAAACAGGGACACTAGATCACATGAACTTTCTCACCTTTATGATAACCTATTGACTCCAGAACATCGGTGCGGGGCGCAGGTCTAAGACCTAGAAAACTAACCTACCGGTTGAGGGAGTACTACACCGCGTATATAGCGGTGTTGACCAACATTAGAATCAATGCTCGAGAAAGGATAGCCGAAACAGTGCATCTGAAACGTTGCAGGTTAGTAACATGTTTCTATTGGTTAAATAAAAGAAAATCATCATCATTATCATCATCATCGTCATTATTATTACCAGAGGATGTGCTCGCTTCGCTCGCCTTCCCTCTGTGTGAACGTCGCGATTAGTCTCGTTAATAAAAGAACAGTATGACCACTTTACGAAGATAGGTTTAATGTTGCCTGTTTTCTCGCTTAGTTATTTTCTTTAAGTAATGTCAGAAATTCAGTTGTAAGATTATGTTTTGTGTTACAAAGCCTGCTTCATAAACGTTTACAACTAACGTTGAGTTCAGGTACAGGATTTGAAATTTCATATCATTTCTGGTCCGCGCGCAAAGCGCTGACCCAGAAACTCAGTGCTGTTCATGTGCTTGTTCTTGTTACCAAAACTTTAAAAGCGTCCAGCGTCGTCAGTTTTGGACGGACGTGCATTAAATTTTGTGTACATAAACTAGAGGAGATTTCCAACAAACATGCATCACCTTTTTTTTAAAGTTTGTCTCCAGGGTTCCCCCTACACCTACAAAACAAAACAGGGGTTTGCGACTTTAAAAGCGTCCAGTTTTGTCCGGACGTGCAGGACATTTTTTACACATAAACTGGAGGTGATTTCCAACAAACATGCATCGCACTTTTCTTAAGTTAGACCCCAGGGTTCCCCTTCATCTACAAAACAAAACATGGGTCTTAAACTTTACAGGCGTCCAGCGTCGTCCGATTTTACTGCCATTTGCCACTACCGAATTGTGCACGTCGCATTAATAAGTTACCTGATGCATTTGTCAGTTGCAGCTAAAGCAAAGTTTTACTGGAACTAAAAAAAAATCGAAAACCGACGGTGCTTAAAAAAAATCGACTGTGTTGGTTTAATAACGAATGTGTTTGAGAAATTTGAAAGTTGCCCTGTGGCGGTCCCTATACAATGTGAAAGTACGTATGTTTAATGTTGCTATTTTGCAGGGGTGGCGCCCGGATTTGCCCGACGGGGAAGCCGATGTTTTTCGACGGGGTGGGGCGATTCCTCCGACGGAAACGTGTCGGGCGTCGGTCAAAATCTCTCGAATGTGTTCCAGGGCGAAGCCCTAGAAAACCCAAGAATATAATTCTTGGGTTAAAAAAGTTTATTTAATGGAATTAGAGTTTACTAATATGTAGAAAATACATATACATTTTTTTTCTCCCTGACGAATTGTGGTTTTCTTCCCGACGGAAGGGCAACTATCCCTGACGGGAGGGCTGGCCCTCAATTAAGCTGAAATATAAATTATATTCACTTCATAAGGTGGGGACTTCGGTAATGTATGCGGTTACAGTTCTTTAAACCGGTATGTTTCGTATCCCAGATGTTTTTTTGATGTCCTCGATTTTTTTTATTTTACCTTTTATAATAATTTTTTTTTTCAGATTTGTTTTTCTTTTTCCTTGCATATATTTTCCCTATCTTTGTGCACTGTTTTTTCCTGGCCATCACTTTGGTCACTTCCCATACTTAGAATTTTTTCGTGCTTTGCCGAAGCATAGGCCACATATAAAACATGTGCCCCTCCCAATATTTCGAAAACGGATCAACTAATCTGAATAAAACATTTGGAAAGAGTCCCAGTTATAGACAAAAATGACACTTTGCAAAATAGTTTTTCATGTTGAAATTGAAAAATGATCCAATTTTGGTAAGATCCGCAGTAGGGTGTGAATAATGAGGACAATTTAAAGATCTTTTGTTGACAGTTGATTAAATAATTTAAACGCATTTCGCGTTTTCTAAAGCGCTTAAACCAGTAACAGCTAGGTTAAACTCAAAACTACTGTGGTATGCATGAACAATTTTTGCTTTCAGTCATTGAATCGTTATGAACTAAAAATGCACTTTCCTATGCAAGGTCGTCCCATATAGCGCGCAATGGTTATGAGTTACGATGTACCTCGCTATTACCATTGCAGCCATAGTTCAAATTCAAGCAGTGAACTTGGTTTTCTTTGTTTTTTTTTATTTTTTTAAATTTTTTCCACTTTATTAAAATTATATTGCTTGTATACCTTTTAATGACTTTTCTTTTTGTTGCAATTTCAACTTCATTTCTCATTAAAGCAGTGGGGAAAAGGCCTATGTTCTGTTTTTGAAACAGACATAGTAAGTCTAATTATTATCATTATTATTATTATTATTATTATTATTATTATTATTATTATTATTATTATTATTATTATTATTATTATTATCTCCGCCAAGAGAGATAGGTTTTCGTTTCGTGTGTTTGTGTAGGTGTGTGTGTGTGTGGGTGTGTGTGTGTAACGCTTTGCTGTTTCAGTTTTTTTCTTGTGTACAAAATATCTCAAAAACGGCTGCATATATGTAAATTCCAGTTAAAAGAATTGTTAGGTATGACCCAAGGATGAGGTGATTAAATTTTGGTGACTGTCCGGATTAGGGTGTGAATGTGAGAACTATTTAAAGGAATTTGTCCTAGACAAGATATCTCAAAAACTAATCAACTGACATAAATGAAACTTTCCTGGAAGTTTAAAGAAGTTACAAGGAATAAATTATCAAGCGCTTGTCGCGATCCTAATTAGGGGGTGAACTTGAGGATCACTTAAATTTTTAAGGTCATGTGTGTTTCTTGTGTACAAAAATGCCAGTTAAAGGGATTGTCTGGTAATACCCAAGGATGAGGTGATTAAATGTTGGTGACCAACCTGCGTAGGGTGTGCATATGAGTACCACTCAAAGGAAAACGCCCCAGACCAGATTAAAAAAAATAAATTATATTATTGAAACCTTCGTGAAGGGTTTAACCAAGTTACAAGGAAGGAATTGTGAAGTGCTGGTGACGATACAAATACGGGGGTGCATGTGAGGGCCATTTGGACCCAGACCTAAATATCTCTTGATTGGATCAATGGTTGAAAATGAAGCTTTCCATAATAGTTTGTCATATTTTAATAAAGAAGTGTTTAAATTTTGGTCACGATCCGACGTATGGTGTGGATATAAGGACCATTAAAAAAAAGGTTTACCGTATTACCCGCTGAAACAATAGGTATATGATGAATTAGTTCAATTACAGTAAATGTGTACAGCGTTCTATATGTACTAACTTCACTTTTTTCCGAGCTTATTGGGAATACTTTTAATGCATCTTTACATTTTAACATATGACGAAAAAAATCAAATCCCCATATATCTATTTCAATAATATTTCCAATTTAACACCAATACTATAAAGAATAATACCTGCTCGTATGTTAAGTCAGAACATTTAAGGAATTGGCAGTTCGAAACATGAAGTGATTATATTTTGGTGACGATAGATGGATCCTTCAAAGCAAAACGTCGCAGATCAGATATATCAAAAACTAATAAACTCATCTAAAATAGGTCTTTGCATTACAGTGCAGTAGCACTAGTAATACGCTGGACTAGCATTGTTTTAGTTACCATATGAGAGTTTCCTGTGTTAGGAACTTAATTTACTATACTATACTTCTTTATAAGACATAACTTGTACTTTATAATAAGAGAAATCTGTATATTATCGGTACGTGGAACAGTAACAACACAAAAGTACTATGCTACTGCACTGTAATGCATATGCCTATTTTAATACACTACTTAGATAGGCTTTTCTTTTTCAATCTTGATTTCAGAGATCAAAAACATTTACAATTTTTTGTCAATGATATATAGTGGTGTGGACTAGTCTTTTAAGAACATTTTGCTGGAATTTTTTTTTTGGATACGACCCCTCGTTTTGGAGTTATGATTTTGTTAAATAACATGATGTCAGAAAATCAGCCCAAAAGCTTATCTTATTTCTGTTGGTTTGGTAACGTAATTCGACAGGCAAATTACAGTAATATCCGACATCAAAAAAGAAATCCTTGACCCCTGGAACACCTAAATCCATGCACAAAAGCACCCATGTAGGCCAAAACACTGAAATAATAAATTTCAAAATGGTGGAAGGTGGCCATTTTGGATTTAGGGCATATACGGGTTATGCCCACACTTTTGCGAGGGACACCCAAGCTATTTTTGTTATTATACCCTCAAGGAAGACAAATCCACTGAAAAACTAAGTTAGCCTCTCCACGGTCACGGAATTGCCAGAAATGACCCAACTATATTACATTTGAAACATGTCAAAGTTCAAAAACAGCATTTCGGGTCATTTTTTAGCAAACTTTTCAATTAGACCAAATAGAAACATTAATGTTCCGAACATATTGACACCACAATTAACTCTTTACCACCAGTGGTTGCGGAGATATAATGATCCTATTGCTATGAACTTGAAACGTGTCAAAGGTTAGAAACAGCATTTCCGGTCATTTTTTAGCAAAATGTTCTATTAGAGCAAATAGAAACATGAATGTTCTGAACAAATTGGTACCAGAATTACCTCTCTACCACCACTGGTTACGGAGATATGACGACTATGACGACCCTACAGCTATGACCTTTGACCATAACCTTTTGACTTTTCGCCACATTTTGAAAATGTGTTACCAAGCCAAAAAATGATTCTTAGACCACCCTAAACCAATTTCTGAAGTCAAATTCTCTGGACCGCAAAGTGCATACAAAATCTGGTCTGGCTACGAGGGTATATTGTGTGGGTGCAAATTTTACGTCCTGGTACGACATTAAACTCCATCCGGTCGAGGTGTCGGCGACTAAACTGACAACCCTCTCAGATATGTCTTAGTGGCTGCTGAGGGGAGGGTGTTTATGGTCACCCAGCAGCAAGAAAAACCAATAGCTGAGCAAAGGGCGGATGAGCTCCTCGAAGTCAACGGCCAACCATTAATTAGTTTAAGGAATAGGAGTAGTTTAGTCTCATTGTTATTATGATTACTGTATTATTTTTATTTTATTTTATTGTTATTGTTTTATTGTTATTTTCATTTTCTCAGTAGGCCTATATTATTTCTTTGGAAAGCGCATAGGGGAAATGTGCAATATGCGCTATATAAATATAACATTATTATTATTATAAAATTGTAGAGTTGAACAAAATGGCTCTAGGAGAGGGGTGCCTTAGGAAGGAAAACCCTGTTGGGATCGAGGTGGTTGAGCCCATGCATTTTTGATAATTTAAAGTCTTATTTAATCATGGTTAAGGCTGAGGGAAGAAAATTTATGATTATGGCACTTCCAAATAGCCGAAAATTGCACTCATACAATTTGAAATTCATTTTCTTTTCCCCCATTAAAAAAAATAGGTGGTGGGGGGGAGGGGTGGGATGGGAGGAAACGACGGGATGACTGCGTTTCTTTGAATCCGTCACTGTCAGTGGCGGATCTCAGGGGCGGATCTAGAGATGTCCAAAAGGGGAGGGGGGACCGAAATTTGGGCTGATCGAGACAACAATGTCCTAGGGGGTCCGGGGGCATGCCCCCGCGAAATTTTTGTGTTCTAGACGCCCGAAAATAACATTTGAGGCGTTCTGGGCTATCATTTTTTTTTCTTTCTTTTTTTCTTTCTTTTTTCTTTTTTTACCTCCCAAAAGGGGGGCCGGGGCCGGGCCGCCCCTGAATCTATGAATTCGAAATAGAGGGCAACCGACTTTCACAGGTTGAGGGTGTATAACACCTCAGCCCCACATGGTTGGAACTGAGGTAAGAACATTTATGATTAAAAAAGAAAGTGAAAAGAAATGGATAAGGGAAAAACATTATTATTATGTGTGTGTTGAGTTGTGTCTTTAAAGTGGTCTTTAATGACAGAGACCTGTAGTGTGTTCACGTTATTTAAGCCATAAACATGCGCATCTATTGTCTTCGTGGTTAAAAGAAATAAAAGGGGAATCGAAGGGGTTAGAAAGAGAAAAGGGAATGGTAAGGGGGAAATATTGCATGACCTTTCAAATCGCTGCTGATGCTGTGGATGGACGTTGGTTAGAGAATCCAGAGCTTCAATGACAATTTCACAATAATCTGATGTATATGTCTAGACAACCAAAAATCTTTCTGTATTGTTTTTGACGTTTCTTTGTGCACTATATATTTTTGCTACGATATTCACCATGGCGAACGATGCGAAGGTCTAAATCCGCACTTGTTTTATTAAGATGATTTTCAAGCGAAAATAAAAATGATTTTAGTGAAACCTAGAAGGAAGATGAGTTTTTACGCGGTGAAGACACTCAAATTCCTTAAATATTTAATTAAATAAATACAGTTAAAAAAGTCGTTGCTTCTACAATAAATTAGCAGTCCTAGTTGGAAACTGCTGATTGGTCAAGGAATTTTAGTGGATGAATTTTTTGAATGCGTGAGGCGTATTCAGGAGTCTTGTAATCGGTGTGCTGATGGAGAGGGGGGGGGGTGGAGCGGGAACAAGGGAATTGGCTCGATGATCAGTTGAGGGGCGCTAATTCGCAAAATAAGGTGATATTTTAGGGCGACTTTGGGGCGGGCCAGTAATTTTTGGAGGTGCGTGCACCGCCCCCCCCCCCCCTAACCCCTCGTCGGGAAAATCCTCGCGGGAGGGGTACGTACACACTCGTGGTACCACCTGCGTACGGGCCTGCCCCACCTATTCTCCTTCTAACCCCTTTTCCACCTGGTCAAACGAAATCAAATTAGGCCCTAGCCTACGCCTTTTTACGCGTGTGAATAAAAACGACGCAGGGTAGATTTGAGGAGATGGAGAAAATGTGTGAAATCTCAATGTTGTAAAACTTGATGTTATCAAACTGTGACTCAATACACGTTTTTTTTTTTTCTAGTACAATTTTGCCCAGGCTCAGTGTTCATATATTTTTTTCGGATTTCAGGCTGAAATGTTCTTATTTTGTTCTAATTTTTACACACTTTTCAAACTTAGAAAATTATTATTGTACATGCCCAATATATTAGTGTGTATTATTGAGGGTATACATAGTCACACCTACTACACATTAAGGTACAGATAACATTTGTTGGTTTTTCTTGTTTATTAAAACAAAAATCTCATTTGACATTTACCTCAGCCTCAATTTGTACTTATTGTGTTCTAAATGTTTAAGAATGTTCAGCCTCAGTGTTCTTATAAAATGTGTTCTTATAAAAAAAGTGTATCATCCTAATCAATCATTTTTCCGAACTCTCTGAATTAGCTGGCTAATCTGAATTAGATGCTGGGCTTCCAGTATGAACCACAGCGGGGGCCTACTGTCCTGAATAAATAGGAGGAGACATTACATTTCCATATCATCAAAATTGAAGAATATTGAAGATAGGCCTACAATATTTTCCGTTGATTACGTGGTTAAAATTAAGTTTTTAAAGGCTTGGAACCCGACCGGCCCTGCCTTTGTTACCGACCTCCATATTCCACAATGGCAGTTTTAGAGGGGACGTATTATAATTTCGATGAATTAATATGCCAAATTCCTTTATATGTCGTCTAAAATAACACTTGTAGATTATAGTGTGTAAATCAATGCAATTTGAATTTTTTCATCATGTTTTGAAATATTTGAATGTTTAAAATAATGTTCTTTTACTTATACAAACTCCTCCTACAATCCTCACGATCAAGATCATTATGAAAACTCACTGAGCGGTTCACTGAACAGCGAATGAGCCAAACGGGACGCCTTTTCTAACAAAATCGTCTATATAATTTGAATGGTTTCATTTGGCAATCTGGGGAGATCGGATTATACAACTAGATGTTTTAAAATTTATAATCATCTGACTATTCTTACAAATAATGCAAAATTGAGTGATCATTTTTCATTCAATGCTTTTGCATAGGAAAAAGGCTAAAATTGTGTTTTTTTTTGTATACTTCATGCTTCTTCACATAACTCTGCAACGATAGGTCGCTGAATTTTGAGGTAAACGGTCAAGTGTAGTTCATAAATTAAGCTTTCTTGCCACGTGCTGGTTGATTAGGTAAACAGTAATAATTTTTTCTTTAAAATGTTGTATTCAAATCAGTTTTTACCCTGTTTTTGAATGACGTCACACACTTTAAGCCAATAGCAGCTACGAATTTCGAGTTTTCTGTGGTTAGTGCGTTTATGCATACGATGTAGATCCAATTTACTTGACTGAGCTTTCGCTGAAAATGGGGGCAAATTTTCCATTATGTTATTTTTCCTCGTAAATCTATTAGTTTTATCCCACACAAGTTTTCTAATCATAACAAATAATTTGATGTTGATTTTATTTTACTTGTGAATAATTTAGCTGTCTCGCAAGGGATACTTTATACTCTTTTAAACACAATGATTAAATTATTTTCTCTCACATGTCAAGAAAAGTTTTTAATCACAACTTTAACCAAATAAAGCTGAAACTGAAATTATAACTTCTTGAACTCTTCCCCTAAGACCTATCTATTTTCCTATTTTGACAGTTATTGATAAACAATATATATTTATATCATGATGTGTTATTTGCTACAAGGCCGGGCCTAACTAAATTCATCAAATAACTCTACAGATTCATGTCTAGCTCTTGGGGTTGAAGATGGTACTATCCACTCAGACCAGCTCACAGCATCTAGCGAACGCACTAGCTATTATAAAGCTTATCGAGGACGACTTAACACAGTACCAGATGCAGGAGGCGCGGGAGCCTGGGCAGCAAAGTATATCAACCAGAATCAGTGGATTGAAGCCGATCTTGGTGCTATAAAAGGCGTGATTGGAGTAATAACACAAGGACGCAGCAATGTCAATCAATGGGTTAAAACATACAAAGTATATTACAGTACCGATGGTAAAAATTTTACATCAGTATTGGGATCGAGTGGCCAAGATGAGGTATGTTGTTATAATCAATTTATATAAGATTATACGAAAAGTATCATGAGATATCATGAGACCCGGAAATGTATGCTTAACATAATGTCATTTACTTTTAGACTTTTAATGCTAACTATGATCAAAACACCGAGGTGACAAACATATTCAATTCTGTTGTCTACGCTCAGTTCATACGTATCAATCCAATTAGCTGGTATGTGTACATCAGTTTAAGATTTGAGCTTCTTGGCATAGGTAAGATATCTGAACATACAATAATTGTGTATTATGTAAGATAAGAATACACATACTTTTGCTGCAGCCATTGATCGTTACAGTCTTAATAAAATCTGACAGGATCCGTATCAATTTCTCCAAAAAAAAAACTTATTGTGTTGGACACGCCCGACCGACCCAAAATGTTCGAATTTGAGGGTCGGCGTTTTGGATTTTTTTTTTTTACTACAACCAAATATATTTTTTAATGAGCTGAAAAGGCAATGCGACAGTGTTATGCGATCATTGTGCTCATCAATATATATTTTAAAATGGTATTTGTCGTATTTTTGTGTATTTTCTACATTTTAGGCATAAACACATGATAATGATTGGTAAAAAAACCCACAAACCAACCCATTATTTGCATTTTTCCAAAACGTGGCCAACACAATAATTTTTTCTATGGTCTTACATCAAAACAAAAAGTTTATAAATTAATTTTTTTATTACCATCTATCTCATGGGATAATGTTAATTAATAATATCTAAATAGTAGTATTTATTCAAATAACAGTAGGTATAGTTTAATTATTATCATTATCGTCATGTACTATAGGACTTAAATAACTTATAAATATAATGATATAATGATTGAAATTTTGAAATTATCCACAATATGGAGAATTTTAATAAACACAAAAAAGAAAAATATAATTATCCTCACACCCATACTAATGCCCACCGTTATCAAATCACCATCAACATCTGTACCACCGCCAGGCCATTGTCATCATTGTTGTCATTAACGATAATTTAATTTAATAATATGCAGCTTGTTAATTCATTTTCAGCTCCACTGGATATAACAATGTTCTCCGCAATTCCACTGATATCGTCCAACAATGAAAATGAATTTCGTGGATACGCTATCAACAACTGCAAAACAACGAATTTAACAATCGGGATATTGTACAAGAATGTGGATGGCAGGAATAATGTAACCTGGGCTGATACTGGACATTCTGACAACACCAATGGAAATACAAGTGACAATTTAGTGAACATGCCAGATAATAACATATTTAACACTAGAAGCCAAATATCATACGGAGTACATACAGATTTTGTATATCTCGGTGTTAAAAATTTACCAAACTCTTACAGTGACGGTGTGTTTTCGTTAGAAGCAACAAAATCTGCTATTGTTTCCAGGTCTGCAATTGTTGTGACGTCAGCATTGGGTGAGTACCAGCAAGTATTTATTTTTCCTCCAAACCAAGTCCAATAATTTATCTTAATTTGGTAGAAATTAACAATTAATCTGTTTTTCTATCCTAATTCGTTTTTGACATGTTTTATTAAATGTTGAAAACTTTCACGAAAGCTATAGAACTATTA